GAGCGGCCCGGTGGCGCGCGGAGCTGGAGGAGGCCAGGGAAGTGGTGACAGCCCCCCGGCCGCGCTGGGCCGGCTGCGGGGACAACGCGGCGGCGATCCTGCCCACGGCGCTCGGCCACAAAACTCGCGTAAGCTCTCAGTAGCGGAGGGAAGCGTCGCTTTCCTCCCATGGTGAGTTACCATGGGGATGGCAGGAAAGGACTGAGGATCTGTCTCCCTCGGGATGTCAAGACACCCTCCAGGCTTGTGCTGGAGACACCTTCCTTTTCCTTCCTGGGTTTCACCAATAAAAGAGGGAAAAAGAGGCCGGCAGAGGCTGCACAATCTGTAATCAGAGACACTCCTGGATCCCTTGGGAGATGCTGCCTCAAAGTCGTGAAATGGCAAGGAGTGTGCAGGAGGCCTATGGATGTACAACTATTCCCTGTGATGACACAGATCAACAGCCACAGACTGGCTCACAGGTGACTTAATAATAGTCACCCATGAAATAAAATCCCGGAGGAGCCTGAGAAAACATTTAAGTTGCCAGAAGCGCTGAAATCCAGTCACATTCAGTTAGGCAGTGCAGAGGGCTTGGGAGAAGGATTCCTAAAGCTGCCTTTCCCTCATCTCTGCCTGCTCCCGTTGGGAGGCACGGCTGGCATCTGGTCCTCGGAGCAGGGAAGAGCACAAGAGGTAAGGGAGAAGTGCCTCTAACTGCAGTGCGGAGCATGCCACAAGCTTTCCCAGTGCCTAGAGAAATGCGTACAGAACCATTCCTTTCCCCTGAGAGAAGCACCACGGCTGGGCCTCTGTAGTGGAAATAAAGAGGGGCCCCAGCTGAATTACCAATTATTCTTTTCTCAGTTTGTTATGACTAGTCTCACAGATGCGTCTTGTCCTCAGGACATGCTGCCACAGGGATGTGGGTGGCATTATTCCCACCCTGCAGGTGAGCAGACAGAGGCAGAAAAGCGATCCTCCTTCCACCAGCAACGCACTGAAACTACGGCATGGAGAACATTTGAGGCCGCATCAATCCCACGACCGAGCGTGATATTTGGCACCACAGAGGCCCTCACCAAGCTGAGGCACACCGGAAAGACGCAGCCTGTCTCACAAGCCCATGGTCCTTGTCCCTCTGCATTTCCTCTGACCCTTCAGTCTCATCTCACTGATATTTGTGCCGGCATCTGGGACTTGCACATTAAAACCACTGCCACACCATGCATGTGCAAAGCCCAGCTTTTGCTCAACTCACCCTGAAAAGGAGAGAATGCTCCTGCTCCAGCCAGAAGCTGCAGGCAGGCACAGCAGCATCCAGAGCCCCTTCCTCACTGCACTTTCTCACACAGCTCAGGCAAGACAGAAGCATCTCTGCTGCTTTTTCAGTCCATGACCGTACTTGGACTTCCTCTGAACTTCTTTTCAGAGCACTTAAAATACAGAAACAATATATTTAGGTATAGAGGTATACATTCAGTAAAGTGTTACAGAAAATTTGCTTTTCAATGAATAAAAAATGAAGCACTGAACATCATATATACCGGTTAGGTTAGCCAGAACACTGGCTAATTTATAAACCCCAATCACTTTTTACTCTGTATATGAAAATTTTTTAAGACATAGTTTTATATTTTTCCTGGGATTAAGGATTAAGATGTGTAAAGCATTTGCCTGTCAATCTTCTGAAAAATATTTAACAGCCTGATAGGGGGTATTATGGGCTATATGGGATTAGGAATGAGGGAAAATGAAAGGAGGAAGCCATAGCAAGACTAAAATCTATTTCTCACTCCGTTACACCCCGGGCCTT